CCCAAGTGCAGTTTTATTCAAACAAGGTGAAATCCAAAATCCAAACATAATCCAAACAAGATACACAGACTTGACTTGGCGAGGCATGAACAGACTTGACTAGGCATGAACAGATTTAACGAGGCACAAACAGACTAGACACACCGACAGCGGGTTACAACTTCAATACACGACCAGGCACAATGGATGGAGTATCACTATAAATAGTTATAAATGATAAAAAGAAGGCTTTAAAAAGATCGGTATCGGCAGATACTGCTTTCTATGATCGGCGATTGGTGATCGGCCTCAAAAATCCTGATCGGAGCACCCCTTGTAAACGGTAATCTCCACTGACACAGGTTTTTCTGTAATATTTTATTAGGGAACAGCAGTATAAAGGATCTATCGATGCCCCTAAACACAGCTAAGAAAAATCCTGATTTAAATAAATACACAGTGGCTCTTTTTTCTGAAAAACATGTTGACATGACACAAAAAGCTCTCAAATTCTTTCTTCTTTTCAAGGTATTTATTCTTATTTCATGTTTGTTTGCTTTAGCATTATTTGCTTCTGTGGAAATATATAGGATAATATTATATTATATTATATGATATGATATTATTATATGTTGTATTTATCAGATTAAGCATTTCAATATTTTCTTAAACATAAAATGTTCTTTTCTAAGTTTTATGTGATGTGGTTTGTGTAGCATCATGACTCAATACTGTTACTAACATTACACTAAATCTATCCTCCAGTGACCCTATTACCTCACCCTACATTGCTCCACACTAAAAGGCCCAGCAGACCAGTGACCCAGAAGCAGCTGCAGGGTAATCTGTGTGGGAACAACGGCAAAAGCCCTAGTGGTGTTTCTCTAAAGCTCTCCTGTGTCTTTTCACCAGCCTATTATGTAAGCACCATCTAAAGCATGGCAGAGCTGGCCAATTCTGTGCAAATAATGGCATTCATCTTATGAAACACACTCTGAATCAAGCTTATATAAGAGCTGTCTGAAGCTGTGTGCTGAGCCTTATATTCATGCCCGCCACAATCCACATCATCAGTGATGGACATGCCAAAGCATCGCCATCTCGCTGCCACAACTAACAGATGTGCTTATGTGAGAGAGACACACTCGAAACGAATTAGAGGGGCTGTCTATTTGGAAGAGATCTGAATAACAGGCCTCTATATAAACAAACCAGAGTGACACCATGAGCACAAAAGGAGAGTGTGCCTTCAGAGAGCACACACAATCACAACAGAGGGCTTCTACGCATACAGTAACTCCCTCTGACTATTACAGATTCAGATTTATTCTGTGGGTCAATCTCATGAAAACATCTCCACGTCCAATTGCACCCCAAAATCAAAAGCAAAAAACAAGTTAAAAAATATAATTTGAGAAAAATTTATTTTTAGAATAATTAAGATACAAACAGTATTGTTGTATATATATATATATATATATATAACATTATGACCACCTATCTAATAACCTGTAGGACCTCCTTTAGCCCACAAAACAGTGGCGAGGTGGCAATATCTGGTCTCCTGGGGTATCTGGTATATATAATGCCAACAGCAGGTCCTCCAGTTCCCGTAAACTGTGGGGTGGTGGTGATGTAACACAAACCCACTTTTCCAAGTCAAACCATAAATGTTCGACTGGGTGAAATTCACCATCATGTTCCTCGAACCACTCCTTCACAATTCTGGCAGTGTGGCATGGCGCAATATCCTGTTGGTAATGGCCAACACTGGCAGGGAACACAGTCTCCATGAACGGGTGCAATTGGTCCGCAACGATGTTCAGATACCTGACAGCTGTCAAGAATTGTGCTATTTGGATAATGGGGCCTAAAGTGTCCCAAGAAAACATCGCCCACAGCATAACCGGCCTGTGTCTGCCCCACAGTGCATCCAGGTGCCATAGACTCTGCTGGTAATCGGCGTATCCGCACTCAAGTCGTCGACGTAATGCACTAGGAATCTTGATTCATCAGACCAGACCCCTTTCTTCCAATCATCCACAGTCTAATATCGATGATCTTGGGCTCACTTCATACGTTGTTGTCCATGGCGTGCAGTTACACAGTTATACACACAAACATTATAAATTGCTATATGCCAGTGTTTCCTATCATAACTATACAAAGATTTGTTTTCAAAAATAGTATCATAGCTATTACACTATTACTCGTTATGATTTTAAATCTGTATTTTGTAGTGGTTGTGCTTTAAAATGAAATTATTATCATCTTAATTCAAGTGATGAAGGATTTTGAAAGTCTGACAGTAATCAGTGTTGAGTACTACTGAAAAGTTAACCGTGCCTGGTTTAAATGATTGAAAATGATTAACAGTTGAAAACATTCTTTAGAAATTTAGAAAAGTAATAAAAAGTAGTCAAATGTAATCAGTTACATTACGTGAATAAAGTAATTGAAATAGTTACACTACTTATAACATTTTAAATAGTGTAACATGTAATCTGTAACCCATTACATTTCCAAGTAACCTTCCCAAAACTGTGTGTGTGTGTGTGTGTGTTACTCTAAAATTCACATTACAACAGTAATTTTTCACATTTTATTTTTCTATTTTTTAAGTTGTGTTTAAGTTGTGTTGTATAGTTTTGGAGAAAACTAAAAGCAAATTCACCCAAAACATCAAAATCCA